GTCATTGCCAGCATCTTCATCGTCGTCATCATCGTCATCATTGTTGCCATCCTATGATATGTGGAAAATCAAACAAAGGATAATTCTGCATGGCTCATTTTATTTGTAAGATTTCATAAATAATAACATATGAGTTTCACCCACCACAACCATATCTGGATGAGTCCTCATATCTGTATTTTTTTTAGATAACAGGAGCATTTGTTGATTGAGACATACATATAGATTTCACTTAACAAGCTGAATATCAAAAAGTGCAGAATTAGCAAATATGGCCACCTCTATATTAACCAATTTATCTGCTGTTAAAACTTAAAAAAGGCTTGTCATTTTATATTACCCGGCTCTTTTTGCATGTTTTGTTTAATTTAACAATTTGTTTCATGACATCTTTACAGGGCTATCTATTGTATATAACGTGGCTGTTGTTGATATCACATACTTAAAAGGCCGGTAACTTTTCTTGCCTGACTGTTTTTGCACATTCCCTGATGTGCTTTTTAGAGTCAACTTTGATGAAAGACATTTGCACCACTGCTGGGGATTTTACTTCACATTGCCTCAATTCTGTTTTATGTGAGGTGTGCAAAAAGTATGTGCAAGAACAAACCTTAAGTGCAAATTCTCAAGGGGTTCTGGAAAGCTGCTCGCGATGAAAAAAAGGTGTTATATTTCCTTTGAGCCAGGTTAGAGCCGTTTGATACAGCGTGGGAGAAATACAGGGAAAATAAACGAGGTCATTACGGTGTGCAAGTGAGAGAGATACCCGGGGCCAGCCGTAAGGATGTGCGACCACAAAGGGCACCTCGAGCTGTGTAGAATGTCACCATTGGAGATCACCTGCAGTCTTATTTTTCTTGTCGTATGGCTGCTGATGTAGATGCAGAGCAACAACTGCAATTTCACATTCAGGCGTTCAAGCCAGATGACCGCATCAAGAGTTTATTGCTATGATGCCTCCTTCATATTTATGGATCGGACATTGCGTCGTTATGCGTTGTATGGTCTGTTCTGGATGACTGCAGTCGCACACTGGAGAGATTTTAATTTTCCATTTGTACATCAGGTATCTGCATCTGCCATGCTTCGTGATAATGCGGTTTAGGGTGGACCATGAGCTTCGTGGAAGATCAAATCCAGGGGATTTTCTGTGTTGGGTCTTTCACAAGGTGTTTGTGAATATTCTTTTTACACGCTTTTTATTAACTATGTCTGTTGTATCCTCAAATCTTGTAACTCAATTTTTACCCACTTCCCAATGTGGTAGTCGACTGTAAACTTGGTATACTTATGTCATACTGATGACAATACTATATTCTATCATTAAACGAAAACATATTTTAAAAACATTTTTATGTTATTTTCGGCTTGGGTCTAATTATCCACGCTCAACTGACGTTGGCTGTAAATCACCACGGTCCCTTACATTATGGCAAGTTTCGGAGCCACTTCCTGGAGTCGTGGAGTTCTTCCATTACTAGTACGGAACATTTCATTAAAGCGTGTTAAAAAAAAAAGTTTGGTTTAATATTACATTTTTTAAAACTCCATTCAGCTTTCCTGTAGTAGTTACCTGCAGTAATTCATCACTATTTAAGTCTTGTCTACAGTAATCATGCATCATTAAACTACAGTACAGTATATCACCACACTTAATCTGATCTCGGAGGGACTTTTGGTCATCGTGAAGCTGCCCCACCCTTACCCCTATGGCCCCCCACCAACCATCACGACCTGCTGCTGCTGCCCATGCACACTCCTCCACCCCTTCCACAACCCCCATCACTTCCCCCAACACTGCCCACACACCGGTCCAACGCTGTGGCCGGGGGAGGGGCCTAAACGTAAAGAGGTGCGGACTAAAGAAGGGCTGGGGCCTAAAAAGGAATGGCCCAGAGACAAGAGAGGAAAGAGAATGGCGCCTAATCAGGAAGGTGCTGGGCCATTAGAAGTAAGAGGGGAAGGAGGCAGGGCCAACAGAGTTTGAGTTAAGGTAATCAAGAGCATTGAATGACATCTGCGCAGCATACCTTTCGTGCCACAGATATGGCCACAGGTCAATTAGTAATAATTTATTGGTAAACTGCATTAATAACCTAAGTCGAAGGATGGAGTGCAAAAGCGGTCGCAACTGGTAATTTCCGGAACCAAAACCAAACAAATTGTTTTTATGTGCTGGAATGAAAACCTAAAAAGAAAAAAATGTGGTTACCAGCTAGAATATATATCTGTGAAAAAGAGCTTTATAACTCATTGGATTCATCCAGTATAAATATTCTGATTCTAAAATGTGGTTGTTACTGCAGTGACTGAAAGACGCAAGTTTGCATGCCCCTTAATGCCATGCGGGCATTCACAAATACGACTAGCATACACCGCAAAGAATTAAGCGTCGTGTTGGTCCTTGCATTTATTAAATTGGGTGTACTCATGATCACAGTGGCAGAGAGAGACAGTGTTGGCCCGATTCGTGTACTACAGTTCAAAGCTGTCAGACCGGATAAACCAATTTCACCTAAGCAAAGTATAGTTTGTTTTATGCTTCAATGGTGTAGTATTATTTTATTTATTCCTCTGCTTGTTTACCCAGAAAAGCCTCACCGAGTCTCACGACAACTTTTCAGGAGGGGGCCCCACCATGTGTTTTTTTTCTCGCAGCAGAGGGCGATGTTTAAGTGAGTAATCACCATATAAAGTAATTTGAAGGTAATTTTAGATTTGGGATATTTGGCCAGTTACATTGTTTTTTGTCGTTGTCTAGCTCTGATAAAGCAGGATAGCCATCCTATAATGGGTGTTCATGAAGGTGCTTCACCAATGAGAGAATTCGTTTTCCAGAAGTTTGAGCTACAGTAGATGCTAAAACTACACATTTGGCTGTGTCAAGATTTTATCACTTGCATTTCAGCCCTCTGCACCAAATCTAGATTGAAAACTCATTTCTTTAGAACTGCTTTTTGTGTTCAGTTTGTTATCCTTCCCCGCACCTCCAATTTGCACGGTCGGCTACGCACGGTGCGAAATAAGTTAAATATACATACCTCATCGGGATAATGTCTGCCACAGCCTTGACTACATCGGAGATGTTGAGGGGGAAATGCCTAAGATGTGTGGAGTAGTTGTGAAGTGTGGCGTATGACTGTAGTGTCGTGTTGTAGTATGGCGTCGTGAAGCAGTGGTGTAGTTTGGTAGTGTAGTGTTTGTGGATAGTGGGGTGTAGTTTGATATTGTGTAGTGTGGTGTCGTGGAGTAGTTTAGTGTAATCTGGTGTATAATGTTGTGTAGTGTAGTAGTGTGTAGTGTAGTAGTGTGTAGTGTAGTAGTGTGTAGTGTAGTAGTGTGTAGTGTAGTAGTGTGTAGTGTAGTAGTGTGTAGTGTAGTAGTGTAGTAGTGTGTAGTGTAGTAGTGTGTAGTGTAGTAGTGTGTAGTGTAGTAGTGTGTAGTGTAGTAGTGTGTAGTGTAGTAGTGTGTAGTGTAGTAGTGTGTAGTGTGTAGTGTAGTAGTGTGTAGTGTAGTAGTGTGTAGTGTAGTAGTGTGTAGTGTAGTAGTGTGTAGTGTAGTAGTAGTGTAGTAGTGTGTAGTGTAGTAGTGTGTAGTGTAGTAGTGTGTAGTTTAGTAGTGTGTAGTGTAGTAGTGTGTAGTGTAGTGGTGTGTAGTGTAGTGGTGTGTAGTGTAGTAGTGTGTAGTGTAGTAGTGTGTAGTGTAGTAGTGTGTAGTGTAGTAGTGTGTAGTGTAGTAGTGTGTAGTGTAGTAGTGTGTAGTGTAGTAGTGTGTAGTGTAGTAGTGTAGTAGTGTGTAGTGTAGTAGTGTGTAGTGTAGTAGTGTGTAGTGCGGTGTACAGCAGAACACCCAATAATTGGTGGAGATACGAGGGCACCATATCTCACATCTTGTAGTGCATGGCACACTGTGGAAAAGAGCATCCTGGAAACCTAAAACAAAATTTGCGCCAACGCGGTGGGCCACGCATTACATGAGGAATTAGCTGTGCTACTCCATTAATCCCTGAAATATTAGCAGACTACAGGGAAAGCATATGGATCTATTAATCTGTGATAAATTCGCGGATTCCGAAGTTACGAGTTTTTCGAAGACCAAATGGCACAAACCTGCAGATTTGGTCGAAATTAGAGGACTTTATATTTTAGACTTGATATCCTACTGGTTTTATTCCAGACATATGTCAGAAAAATAAATGTACGTGTTCTTAATTAAGAAACTGTCATCACAGTCAACAATGGACATAATTCGTTTTTTGGTAACACTAGCAACCCATACGTCATTTGGATATGACCGTCCTTCCCTCCCAACCAGCCACCAAAACTTTAATATTATATAGAGCCCTGTTTCTCTCCATCTTTCTATTTCCTTCTCTGTACTGTGTATCCTAATGTATCTCGATATCTTTTGTCTCCATTATTTCATTTCCCTATTCATCTGTCCCCTCTGCTTCTGCTCTCTCTCTCTATATTCCTCTCCTCCCTCCACTCTATCTTACCCCTATCTCTCTCACGTCTCACTCTCGACCTCGTTATTCCCACCTCTCCCTTTGCCTTCTCAATCTCTCGTGCCTTTCCCTAATCCTGTCTCCCACCGCTTGTCGCTTTCCCTTGCTCTTCTCCTTCCATTTTGCTCTCTCTTTCCTCGACGTTTTCACACTCTTTCACTTTCTCCCCACCCCTCTCCATCTCTTCCTCCCTCACCTCCCTCGATATCACAGTTGCCGGGGCAGGGGGGGTCAGCAAGCATGAACTCATCTCTACGCAGTGGAATATTGGTGACATCATCACTCAGATGTGGGCAACCCACTGTTTGATATGGAAGGGAACAAGAACACAAAGCAACTTAACATCAATCGTCCCCATATGTTTTGTTTTTTTAGCTGGCACGTTCTTTTGATACGATCACGGCAGAAGAGATACAGGATGAGCTGGCTACATCCCATTGCTTTACATCACTCCACTTTCGTGAACTCGCTCGGCCCCATTGTGCACTTGCAGCTGGTGCTGTTGCTGGCGGTGCTGCTTGGCTCGTGCGATGCAGCTTGGGATTCGCCAGGCAAACATCGTGGCGGAGCTTGCGCCGAGCCCTCGGACAACAAACTACGGATGCAGCTTAGGAAACTGGAGCCCACGATCGCCCCGGGATTCGGAGGGAGCGGGGAGAGCAGCCTGCTGGTGGATGGCACCGAGGATGTACAGAGGCGTTCGTGCCCATCTGGAGCAACCGGTGGCAAAGGAAAAGACATCAAGGATCGCAGTGTTTCTCCCTGGTCCTTCACGTACGTTGTTTGTACACCTTGAGAAGAGGGCCCGACACTCACTAGGCTTTTTTGGAGACAAAAGTTGGTATAGCTTACCCATTTTTGTTATTAACCACTTGCATCAGGTGCCGCTAATCATTTACAGAGAGAACAGTAGCTTACAGTGGTCCATTGCCACAGTCATACGTGACGTGTGTAATGAAAAACGGAGTAAGCGACACGACTTCTGTTTATGAAGAGGTATTTTTGTGTTTGGCAGGTGTGTCCATGCCAGGGCTAAACTTGGTTTTAGCAAGAGTTCACCATGACAATAAATGTTGGGATTCAGTTTGGCCACCACCTTGTTTGAAATAAGTAAACATTTCTGCCATGAGATTAACAATAACGTTTCCATATTCTTGTTATGCAATGAGATCGGCCCATAAACATTGGGAAGTGTCTTCTTGGCTGTGCACAAATTTGGTTCATCAACTTAGACCGAGAGAAAATTCCTCAATGTATTTTTTACATCATGTCAAATGCAAGTTTTCAGCATTCATAGATAACAGGTACCAAAGTGTTGCAATAAAACTTTAGCAGGTGCTAAGAGACTAACCAGATGTACTCTATTTTATAAAGCTTGACTCATACCTTGCCACTGCTATCTTTATGACATCTAAAACAAAGATAAATTCTTAGTTTTTTATGTTGATATGATTTTAACTTATGTCTGGAGAAAACAACAGGTATTCCATATTACCATAGCAATTGAAAACATGTTTCCTGCCAAACATAACATTTTACTCACCCAAAGATCAAATTGAGCCTTGTCTGCATTTACAATGACTGCTTTGTCTCCTCTCCCATCACATTCCTTTCACTGAACAAAAGTTAAACAAAAAACTATTCAAAATAATCCCTCAACAGCAAATTAGTTTTCCTTACAATGCTTACAAAGTGTTTTTGTGCTGTTAATATAACCAGTGTCAAGTTCCACTTAACTGGGTACATCACATTTTCATTGTTGTTTTTTTCCACTTAATTTGAATTTGTGAAGTATTTTATAATGAAACATTGTTGTCACCTAATATTTGTACAGGACACACCTGTACTCAATACTGTACTTTATTTTTGTGTTTGTCATCTTGGTGACCCAGGTGATAATCTTGCAAATTAGACTCATCCTGGTCTCTTAAATTCTCATCTGGTTAAAGAAAATAGACTAAACCATAACTGAAATGTTAATAATTCGAATGTTTTAAAAATAATATAATATACTAGACTTAAAGTGGGATGCTGTTTTAGAAGTATAGTTAGTAAATGAAAGCTGCAATTTGAGTTTAATTACGTGCATATTTGTTTGACTCCATGTCTGACACCATGTGTAACACCACACATGCATTTTGAATGTATGTTAAACTTCTTTCGCACCTGTACTTAGCCATTCGTGCGAATCGGAGGTGCGGGGGAAGGAGAACAAACTAAACACAAATAAACTCCTTTAAACATTTTTTTAAACAACGGTTTTATTTAAAAGTGCACTAAAAAGTAAATAACTCGATAGGAGAACAGGAAGTGGACGACATCTTGATTACAAGAGACACGCGGCGCCTGCTTTTTGTGCGAGCCGATTCCACAGTTTAGGGACTGCGGCGTTTTTCACTGACAAAAATATATCATTAATTTGCCGTCCATGAAAAAATTGTAATTGCTTGAAAGGAGGCAATTAATTGACTATTTGATGCCGATTATAATACAGGCATGCATTGTCACCGGATCTGAGTACGTGTGCAAAATTAGGGATTTATTGGACAACAGGAAGTGGATGAAATGTAGATTACAAGATTTGACCACGACACAGGAGTCAAGTTAAGTAAAACCGTTGAAAAACTGTTCTTAAAGAAATTAGTTTTAAATCTAGCTCCAGTGACTTCCTAACATCGGAAGAACATATTTGAGCACAAAGAAATTTGCTCGCTGTTTGTGTCACGTTCTTGCTCACAGGGTGAACCAAGATTCCTCGCGTTACCCTCGCCGAATAAAGGAGGCCTACTGTCTGTGTGATGGGTGTCTGCTGGGCCACGACGGACAAGAGGAGCGCAGCGTGATGAGCGAGCCCTTCTTCACTTCCATTCTGGTGCTGAGACGCACGAAACGCTGCCATCACGGACGCTACGTTTACAAGCCGGACCTCGAGACAATTGCTCTCTTTTGCACATGTAGTGCCTAGCAGAGATTCCAGATCCCGTGGATTGCCATTCTCCCCCACGGCAGGAGAGGAGGACCTGTGGGATGCATTAGCAGTGCTTTTCAATGTACCTACAGGAAATCCACTATGCACACATTGTGGTAGGAAAATAGAATGCATTGGTTAGCAAGCATTTAGATTTTTTAATCAGCAACAAAGAGTAATAATGGGTTTTACATCTTTAGAGTTTTGCTCATGTTAAAACAGATGTTAATGCTGCTTTGGTCATTCAAGGGACAGTTTGTTCTGTCATGTATAAGTCTTCCACGGAAGAAAAAAAGTTACCTTATAAATGGATATTGATTGGGTTCCGGTGTTTTTAATCAGAAAATAGAACCTTTTTGTAATATTTTTTTTAAATAGACTGTTAAGTGGAAAAAAAATATCTGTACATTTATGAAATGATTTAAACTTTCATTTGCAGATTAGTAACCATCACATGCAATTCATGTGCCAGTTGAATAAAGTACTTTTTAGCCCAACAGTCATGATGTGTCGGTTCTCATTGTCTTAAACTTTGGTTATAGGCATACCTCTTACAGCGCTCAGGATGCGTTCTTGGTAAACGGGGCGCTATATCAAACAGCGCTATAGGTTATGAAAACATGATTCCAATGGAGATGTGTTCCAGCGATATACAAGGACTTCATTGGGGTATCGGTAAAATCCTTAATAATCATACGGTATACATGATTAATGTATTAAAAAGCATGTTATGAATAAATACTTTTAATGGAAATGACTTGAAAAATATACATTAAGTTATGTACTCACGAGTGCATTCGGTCGGAGCTTGCGTAAGGATTAACCACCGTCTGCCCAGTGCCGGATTATCCTAGTAGTAAAAGTAGCATATGCTACGGGCCCCGCACTTTCAAGGGCACCACGCTAAATGTTTTCAAGCTATCAATTCCGGTTCAGTGATTCTGCACTTGCTCCATTACTATAGTACGATACTGACCAGCTAGTTGTGCCTCAGGCTTGTTCCATCTGGGCCGGCCCTCTAGCTGCTACCGTAGGCGCACACCAGATTCAACATCCCTGGTGAGTCGGTGCAGTCAGCAGCTGACAACACACCAGGCTCAACATCCCTGGTGAGTCGGTGCAGTCAGCAGCTGACAACACACCAGATTCAACATCCCTGGTGAGTCGGTGCAGTCAGCTGACAACACACCAGGCTCAACATCCCTGGTGAGTCGGTACAGTCAGCTGACAACACACCAGCCTCAACATCCCTGGTGAGTCGCTACAGTCAGCTGACAACACACCAGGCTCAACATCCCTGGTGAGTCGCTACAGTCAGCTGACAACACACCAGCCTCAACATCCCTGGTGAGTCGGTACAGTCAGCAGCTGACAACACACCAGCCTCAACATCCCTGGTGAGTCGCTACAGTCAGCTGACAACACACCAGGCTCAACATCCCTGGCGAGTCGGTACAGTCAGCAGCTTCCAACGCCGAACCCCGGGCGGCGGTTAACTAACCCGGCAAACTCAGCTTGTCTGAGCCTGGGCGTGTGGAACCTCTGGTGGAGGAAATTCCACCAAAAAAAGGTCTTTGGACCTTCCACTGCAACCAGGATCATCTCCAGTCTTGACTACGTCTTGCCACTGGGTACAGATGGGGCTGGTTGAGAGAGTGAGGTTGACGCTGCGCAAATAACCCTCACTTAAATCCAAGTTCTCTGCGCAAGTCATGACACTTTTTACCATCATCATTATCGAAGTGCTGTGGCGATGGGTGAGCGATGAAGCAGCAGGCACGGATATGCTGGAAGCTGTAACCGCAAACCTGCACGCAGGCGGCTCAGGATATTGGTCGTTCCCTCACTGGACCAAAGCAGCAGTGAAGTCCGGCAGCACCCTGAGTGACTGAGCAGCCCTATTCAGGATCACACTGCTCACCTCCATAGTGAGGAAAGGGTTAGAAAAGGTACCCTAAACATTGCTTGCTTCAAAACATCCTGGCCTGCCTACCGCAGCTGGCAGGATCCCATACTTGCGGTCGAAAAACAAAATGAAAAAGACCAAAGTGATACCACTCACTGTTGGCGCCTGGAATGTGCGCACTTTGATGGACACATCTGGATCAAAAAGACCTGAGAGACGCACCGCCCTCGTGGGCAGAGAGCTAGCCAGATATAATATGGATGTTGCTGCCCTTAGTGAGACCCGACTGGCCAGGTGACTGAAGTGGGTGCAGGTTACACATTCTTCTGGAGCGGATGGGGCCAGGAGGAGAGACGTGATGCTAGGTGTTGGTTTTGCAGTAAAAAAAAACAACTGGTCAACCAACTGGCAATCCAACCCAAGGGTATAAACGACCGTTTAATGACCTTAAAGCTCCACCTATTGGGTAAAAAGGAGGCCACCATCATCAGTGCCTATGCTCCTACCATGACCAACTCTGACGAGATCAAAACCAAGTTTTATAATGCTACCACAGCCAGCTCTGACAAACTCCTGATACTTGGTAACTTCAATGCCAGTTGGAAGTGACGATCAATCATGGAATGGAGTCATAGGTGCACATGGCATTGGAAAATGTAACAGCTACGGCCTTCTGCTGCTGAAAATATGCTCTGAATTTGACCTGCTCATCACCAACACGATATTCCAACTACCAAAGTGCAAGAAAACTTCATGGATGCATCCTCGTTCACACCACTGGCACTTGATTGACTACTTCATCATGAGGAGGAGCGACTGCCATGATGTCAGGGTGACCAAGGCAATGTGTGGTGCTGAATGTTGAACTGACCATCGTCTCATCATCTCCAAACTTAACATCCGGATTAAGCCTCCCAGACGCCCACAAGGAAAAAGACATGTCAAGCGTCTTAACATCACTCGCCTACAACAGGAACACACCAGACTGGCCTTTGTTGATGCTCTAGACCATCACTTGGAGTCTCTAAGCTTCGAGCATACAGACGCTGAGGCAGACTGGACTGCTCTCGAGACCGTGTTGCATTATACAGCCCTTGAATCACTTGGAGTTCCCATACGTACACATCAAGATTGGTTTGATGAGAACGATGCAGAAATCCATGCATGAAGCATATCTGAATGACAGCAGCTCAAGCTTAAAGAAAACTGCCTTCAACATTCGCAGGGTTGTCCAGCGGAGACTGAGAGTCATGCAAGACACCTGGCTATGCACAAAAGTTGAGGAGATTCAGTCCTACGCTGACAGTAACAACACCAAGTGCCTCTATGATGCACTCAAGCAGGTCTATGGTCCGCAACACTCAGGAACTTCAACTCTCCTGAATGCAGATGGAACAACACTCCTCACAGAGAAGGACAAAATACTTGCAAGGTGGGCTGAACACTTCAGCGCAGTCCTCAACCAGCCATCATGCATAAATGAGGAGGAAATTGCGAGACTGCCTCGAGTTTAAATAAACCTTGCTGTTCTACCATCCATTGAGGAAACCAGCAAAGCCATAAGCCTCCTCTCATCAGGCAAAGCTCCATGGTCCAATGCCATTCCAGCAGAAATCTACAAGGCTGGAGGGCCTTGCTTAGTCGAGAAACTGACCGACCTCTTTCAGTATCTGTGGAAATTAGAAGCCGTTCCCCAGGAGTTCAAGGATGCCTATATAATCCATCTCTATAAGAGGAAAGGCAATCGGCAGGCCTGCGACAACCATAGAGGCATCTTCATACTATCAATCGATGGCAAATTATTGGCAAGAATCCTTCTGAACCGCCTAATTGTCCACCTAGACCAGGGTCTGCTACCTGAGAGTTTTTGTGGTTTCAGAAAAGACCACGGAACCACTGACATGGTATTTACTGCCCGGCAGTTACAGGAGAAATGCCAAGAACAAAATGCTGATCTATATATGGCTTTCGTTGATCTAACAAAAGCATTTGACACAGTCAGCCGGGAGGGCCTATGGAAGATCATGGCCAAGTATGGGTGTCTAGACAAGTTCATTGGCATCGTGTGCAAACTCCATGATGGCATGATGGCCAGCATCAGAGACCAGCAAGAACTCTCTGATCCGTTCCCAATCACAAACGGGGTGAAGCAAAGCTGCGTTTTAGCGCCAACACTCTTCAGCATGGTGTTTTATGCCATGCTGCAAGACTAATTCCAGAACGAAAACACTGGGATTAGCTTCATCAACTGTTTTCATGGTGGGCTATTCAATCTGTGGAGGATGCAAGCCTAAATCTAGAGTGGAGGAAGTCACTGTTCGAGAACTTTTGTTTGCTGATGACTGTGCTCTGGCTGCTGACTCAAATAAAGATCTACAGGACAGTATGGACCACTTCTCCTCAGCTTGTAACAATTTCGGCCTAACAATCAGCACAAAAAAGACTGAAGTCCTATACCAACCTGCTCCTGGGAAACCCTCCACTGTCCCACCATCTTTGTGAATGGGCAAAAGCTTTCAGCCGTTGACAAGTTTACTTACCTTGGTAGTACTCTATCTCGCGCTGTGCACATAGATGATGAAGTTAACATATGGATTGTCAAGGCCAGTGCAGCCTTTAGACGTCTACGTGACTCGGTATGGGAAAGGACTGGCATCAAGCAGGAGACAAAACTGAAGGTCTACCAGGCTGTTGTCTTACCAACTCTTTTGTATGGGTGCGAAGCCTGGACAGTCTACCAGCACCATGCAAAGAAATTGAACCATCTCCACTTGAGCTGTCTGAGGAAACTGCTGATTATCAAGTGGCAAGACAGAATCCCTGACACAGAAGTCCTCAGCAATGCCAATATCCCCAGCATCCACACCTTGCTTGCGAAGGAACAGCTTAGATGGACTGGCCACGTGACCAGAATGCCCTGCGCGAGACTGCCAAAACAAGTCTTCTTTGGCGAGCTGAAGAATGGCAAGCGAGTGCAAGGTGGCCCCAAAAAGCGCTACAAGGACACCCTTAAAGGCTCCTTGAAAAGCTTTGGATTCGACCTGAAAAGCTGGGAACCCCTAGCTCAGGACCGACCTGCCTGGAGAAGAAAAGTACAGGACGGTGCAGTCCTCAGTGAGAGGCAGGAGAAGCTCCTGTGCTATCTTGAAGAGGCAACAGCGCAACTCTACCAAGGAAGGACATGTGGCTGCACCTCAGAGGTCTACATCCTCCCTGACCTGTCCAGTGTGCCACAGAGAATTCCAGGCTCGGATTGGCCTGTTCAGCCATCTGCGCACTCATCAAAACCCAACAAAATGACAAACGTGCCATGGTTATCATAAACTTGATGGACGAACAAGAGAGAGAGAGATACTGCCTTCAACGTTTATGAACAACTGGGTATTTAAGTTAGCGATTTGTCGTATTATCTGGCTGTATAGAAAATGAAAAAATACAATTACTTTACTATGCAAGTAAAACATTATAGGTTTCCCCTTTTTCTGGCAACAAAACAGGTGTTAAGATGTTAAAACACCAAACTGAAACCTTTTAAAGGAATCATGTCTGCATTAACCACAATGCTTGTGGTCAGAATGCAAAAATAAAACAAAAA